CACTTTGGGCTACGCCCGCACGAATTTATTCTTCCCGGTGGGTCACCTATCCCAGAACTACTCTAGTCTAAGCACACTTAACTGGGGAGTTTTGTTAGGGATTTCACTACCCGGGAAAAGGCCTCGATGCTATATAAGGGTCCAGGTTTTTACTTTTATAGCCCAAAAACTCTTCTTCCATTCCCAATGTGGGACACTAGGATCTTACACACACACACACACACACACACACACACACTATAGCGATCCCGGTATTCCCTGTTATTGTTTAACTGTAATCCGGACTCGGTTCCGTAGATTCGTTGTTGTCTTATCCTCATTTCTATCCCTTACTCCTTGTGTTAGAGTTCTGGGTTGTGTTGGGCAAGTTGGGAATAAGTTGACTGTGTTTTAAAACTTAGAGTTTTTGCCCAGGTTTTGGTCTCTACGCTCGAGCGGCGATTTGACGCTCCCCCAACTAGAACCATATCACACAATATGACACATGCACTAGTACTACTAATGTGGTCAAAGCGTAATAAGGACAAAACCTAGAGAACCAATACACACACAGAGAGAGAGAGAGAGAGAGAGAGAGAGAGAGAGAGAGAGAGAGAATGTGTGTGTGTGTGTGTGTGTGTATTGGTTCTCTAGGTTTTGTCCTTATTACGCTTTGACCACATTAGTAGTACTAGTGCATGTGTCATATTGTGTGATATGGTTCTAGTTGGGGTTGTTTGGGATTATTATATTTTGACTCATTAGTTTTTGGATTTATTACACTTAAACCCCTAATCTCTTTGATTATTACGATGTCTCTAGCTTTTGATAAGTGTGCCTTCTGCTATCAGCGATGCCATTGGAAGTATCATTGTCCCAAGAAATAATGTTTGTCTGCTTTGGTTATGTTTGCCACGACTTCTCAACAGTCTCAAACCCAATCACAGGCTCCTCCTTTGAGGACTTTTCATCCCTCTGTCAGTACCATTGCATCTGCTCCGACTCCTAATCCTGACTTGGCTTCCTTGAAGGCTCAGATTAGTTAACTTCAGTATACACTATCTACCTCCCAGCCATCCCCGTCTGCCTCCATTGTTTTCTCTCTTCATTCAGGTTTGCTTGGGTCTTCTTTAAGTATTTCTTCGTTTGTCTAGATTTTTTACTCTAGTGCCTCTCATTATATAACTCTCCATCTCCCTTTACTTCAAAATTGTACTCCTCCTCCCTTTCCTATTACTGTTAATGCTACTAATAGGTCTGGTATGTCTGTTATATCTGTTAGGTCTGTCCTACCATCTGCTATGTCTGCAGTCTCTATTCCATCTGTCTTTTTATGTTCCTCAGTTATCTGTCAGTTTATTATTTATCAACTAGCTTGATGCCTCTGGTTTTGATATTAGCTTTTCTTCTTCTATCTGTTCTGTGTAGGATCAGATGTCTAAGCAACAGATTGGGACTGGCCGTAGAATTGGAGACCTCTATGTGGTGGAAAGCTTGCATCTGCCTATGACTACCTCTCCGATTGTTATTTCTTCTTTTTAGTTAGATTCTCTGTTTAGTTCTTTCTATTTGTGGTATTCCAGATTAGGGCATTTGTCTGCTAACTGCTTACGGTCTTTAGCTCAGTCAGGTATATTGGGTAAAGTTTCTCCTGGTCAACTTACCGAGTGTCGGGAGTGTAAGCTTGCCAAAATGACAGCCTTACATTTCTATAATAGTACTTCTATATCTACTACACCGTTTTCTTTAGTTCATACTGATGTCTGAGGCCCTTCTCTTGTCCTCACCAAGGGGGGTTCTGCATACTATATGTCATTTGTTGATGATTGCACCCATTACACTTGGGTTTATCTTATGACTCATAAGTTCGATTTCTATCAGATATACTGTACCTTTTCAGTCTATGATTACTACTCAGTTTGGGTCTATTATTAAAGTGTTACGGTATGACTTGAGTGGGGAATATTTTAAAAATGAGTTCTGTGAGTATTTGGCCAATTTGGGTACCATTCACCAAATTTCCTGTACAGATACACCTACCCAAAATTGTCGAGCCGAGCGTAAACACTGTCATCTCCTTGAGACAGCTAGGTCTCTTCTTCTCTTTGCCTCAGTTTTGGCTCCATTCTATCTACTCCCTTTCTTTCTGGTCGGTCTCTTTATAAGGCTTTGTTCTCCTAAATTCCTAACTACTTCATTCTTTGTGTGTTTAGGTCTGCCTGTTTTGTCCCTCTTCCTCGCAAAGATAGGACCAAACTTAGTGTCCGATCTGTCCTCTGTGTCTTTTTAGGTTATAGTCTTACTCAGAAAGGTAACCGTTGTTACGATCATGTCTCTCGTCACCTTTATGTCTTTCGTCATGTTGCCTTTCTTGAACGTTTATCTTACTTTCAGCTTCCCCCTCTCACTGCCCAGTTTCCAAAAAGGATTTAGTTCACATTGACCCTTTTCCTTCTAAGGTCCTGTCTGATGAGTACATCTCCACTGTTCCTCTTGAGTCCATTACTACTTCTTCGTCTGCCTCATCTATGGTTCATTCTCCTCATTCAGCTTCTTTTTCCCCTCCATTGTTGGTTTATTCTTGTCACAAAGCTCCTCCACCACCAGTTGTCTCGACTCCTATTGCTACTCCTTCTGCTTCTAACGACTTTGATCCTGCTGCACACCGATATCCTACTTTGAGCGTCATCCTCCAAACAGGTTGGGTTGGTTTAATACATGTTTTTTTTGCTTCCTATCGTACTTTTTTTGTCTATTATTCATTCTTTTTCAGAACCACAGTCTTACTCGGAGGCCTGTCAGGACCCTAATTAAGCTATGGATGATGAGTTGTTTGCCTTACAGAAGACTAACACTTGGGAGTTGGTTCATTTGCCTGTTGGAAAGAATCTAGTTGATTGCAAATGGGTCTATAAAGTTAAGACTCATTCTGATGGTTCTCTCGAGTGCCACAAAGCTCGCTTGTTTGCCAAGGGTTTCTCACAGGAGCATGGTATTGATTATGAGGAGACCTTTGCCCCTGTTGCCAAGATGACTACTGTTCTTACCTTGATTTTCTGTTGTTGCTGTTCGACATTGGCCTCTCTATCAGATGGACGTTAAGAGTGCTTTTCTTAATGGTTATCTCATTGAGGAGGTCTACATGCGTCCTCCTCCTAGTCTTCTCCATTCCTCTGGGCAGGTTTGTCGTCACCAACCAGTCTCCTCGTATTTGGTATGATCGCTTTCAGATTGCCGTTACCGAGCTTGGGTTTCATCCTTCTACTTCCGACTCTGCTTTGTTTTTGAGATATACCTCAAGTAGTTTTGTTGCTCTTCTACTCTATGTGGATGATATAATCATCACTGGCTCTGACTCTTTTACTATCTCTGAGGTCAAGCAACATCTTTTCCGCACCTTTGAAATGAAAGATTTGGGTCCATTGCGGTATTTTCTTGGTATTGAGGTTGCCTCTTCTCCAACGGGTTATTTTATGTCTCAGGCCAAGTATGCTAATGCGGTTATTTACCGTGCCGGTCTTACTGATACTAAGGTTTTTGATATACCTATTGAGCTTAATGTGAAGCTCAACTCTACTGATGGTGTTCCTCTGGATGATCCCACAGTCTATCGTGAGCTGGTGGGTTATTTAGTTTTTTTTATTGTCACTCGCTCTAATCTTGCTTATGTTGTTCATGTGGTTAGTCAGTTCGTTTCTGCTCCTCGCTCTAACCATTGGGCTGCTTTGGTTCACATTCTTCGCTATCTCCGAGGTACCATCTTTCAAGGCTTGTTGTTGTCGTCTACTTCCTTTTTAGACTTTGTAGCCTATGTTGATTATGATTAGGCTGGTGATGTTACTGATCTCAAGTCCACCTCTAGTTTCTGTATGTTTCTTGGCAATTCCTTGAACTCTTGGAAAAGCAAGAAACAAACTATTGTTACTCGCTCTACTGCCAAAACTGAGTACCGTGCTATGGCTCATGCTACTGCTGAGCTTGTTTGGCTTCGTTGTCTTCTCTTTGATTTGGGTGTACCTCAGTCTTCTCCGACCTCCTTCTATTGTAACAACCGCAATGCTATTTAGATTGCTGTAACGCCCCGACCCTTTACACGTCATCGATATTGTCCGCTTTGGGTCACGCCCGCATGGATTTGTTCTTCCCAGTGGGTTACCCATCATAGAACTACTCCAGCCTAAGCACATTTAACTGGGGAGTTCTAATAGGGATTTCACTACTTGGGAAAAGGCCTCGATGCTATATAAGGGTCCAGGTTTTTACTTTTATAGCCCAGGAACTCCCCCTCCATTCCCGATATGAGACACTGGGGCCTTACAATTGCCCACAATACTGTCTTCCATGAACGAATGAAACACATTGAGATTGATTAACACTTTGTCTGACAGCATCTGCAGTCTGGCTCTATCTCGCTTCCTTTTGTCTCCTTAACTTTGCAACTTGCGGACTTCTTTACCAAGACTCACACTACCGCTCGGTTTTAGTTTCTTTTTAGCAAACTCTCAGTGTTTTTTTTACTAAAACACTTTGAGTTTGTGCGGGGGTGTGAGAATATATATTGTATATATGGTATATTAAGAATTGGGCAATTTTAGGCAATTTTCTTTTCTTTGTATTTCCTTTTTTTGTCATAATTTAGGGCTATATAACTGATGCACTCTTTGTAAACATACACATTTGAATATACAGTTTTGATTCAGAAATCTTACACAGCACCCTCCAGTCCAGATTTTGGACCGAAGGAATCCTTCCCCTTTCTAAAAAAAACAAAAAACAATAAAAAAAAAGAAATAATTTAGCACCAGTTGAAGATAAATTTTCATGATTCATGAGTTAAATCAAATTATGTGATTATGGACATGATTTACATAACTTGATATTTTTCTCAAATCAGATATATTATATTTCACCTACATATATAACATTTTTAGTCAGTGGATCTAATTCTTTGTTCTTCCTTTATCTTTTCAAATGCTTGTTTTTTTTTGTTTTGTTTTGTTCAAATAGAGTTCATTTCCTGAAGTTACAACGTAGGCTGAAATTTTCTAATAATACCAAAACATAAATACAGTAAAATGAAGTAATAAACCAGTTCAAATCATATGATATTTCTCTGAACTCTTATTACACATTGCTGAGACAACTCAAACTACAAGACTACTCTACTCTCCAAACAAATGCTTTTGTTTGCTTAATCACCCACTCAAAAGACATAGATTTCAACCAACAACAAAATTACAATTCAAACAGGACTGTTTGGTGCCATTGCTTAGTTGGCTTTCCTGCAATTAGTCCTAATTTGCCCACTCGTGCCAGTGAGGGGGCTAAGGTTTCCCATCTTCACCATTGCATTACCAAAATCTGTGAAGAAAGTTGCAGAGTTGGTACTATAAGTGTTGACTTGAGCATCAGTTGAACCCCCATTGAAGAGTTCTTGGTCTGAGTGCAGAAGACCCTTTTGGCCTTGCAAATTCTTGTAGTAAGCGTTGTCGAAAGCAGTTGGGCTAGTGGTGTCGAGGGGGGCGAGGTTGTTGTCACCTCCAGTGCTGGGACAGTTTGCTTTTAGAGATGTCGCGAATTGGGCATTTATGTTGGCGTCATTGTAGATGTGGCTTCTGAAGACTGTGCACCTTGCTTGGCCTACTGTGTGAGATCCTGCAATAACAAGTATCAAAGTTTCAATTCTTGATTTTCTTTTAAAGCTAATTACTTGGAAAAGAATTATGAAGAATATTTGTTATGAATTATGTAGATGTACCTGAAAGAGCCACCAATTCTTTAGCAGTGAAACCTTTGTTTGAGAAGGCAGTTATAAGCCCTTGCAAATTCTTGTAGTAAGCGTTGTCGAAAGCAGTTGGGCTAGTGGTGTCGAGGGGGGCGAGGTTGTTGTCACCTCCAGTGCTGGGACAGTTTGCTTTTAGAGATGTCGCGAATTGGGCATTTATGTTGGCGTCATTGTAGATGTGGCTTCTGAAGACTGTGCACCTTGCTTGGCCTATTGTGTGAGATCCTGCAATAACAAGTATCAAAGTTTCAATTCTTGATTTTCTTTTAAAGCTAATTACTTGCAAAAGAATTATGAAGAATATTTGTTATGAATTAAGTAGATGTACCTGAAAGAGCCACCAATTCTTTAGCAGTGAAACCTTTGTTTGAGAAGGCAGTTATAAGAGCAGAAAGGTTTAAATTAGGTCCAGGGAGGTTAGAGTTAGCAGCACTCAAACTCGCTGTGGTCGAGTCTCTTCTCCCTAATGGAACAGTCCAACTTGGTCCATTCAACTGAAAATTAATCCATAAAATAAATATAAGCATTAATATGTACCAATAGTATTAGAATCAGATATTTTTGTTTTTATTTTTTTTGGCTTGGATATTTTTATGACACTATGAATGAGGATTTTTGAGTTTGGTGGTTGGCTTACAGCGACGACTGAATCTCGGGCAGCAACAGCTAAGATATCAGCACAGGAAACAACACCGGGGCAAGAAGTTTCCAGATTAGATTTAATGGTGTCGATCACGTTAAATCCTCTCAGTGAATTGCTGTTTGGACCGGCTGTCTTTTCTCCCGTGAAGGTCGAATTGTCGTCCAATAGCACCGATGCATCGCACCCCTGTTTCAAATTTGATGCACAAAAAACATTAGCACTTTTTGTTTGTGTTAAGAATCATTGTCTAAAAACTAAATTTTATAAATTCCTCATATATTGCTCCCATCCCATTTCAATGCTAGGTGTTACAGTTTGTGATATTGTTTTAAGGGAGCAGTTAGCGTGTGCACACCATCAAATTGTGCACATCATGTGCACCTTACCTTTTAATTATTGGATATCTACAAATTAATCTAAATCGTTAAATAATTTAATTAGATTAATTTGATACCTTTTTAACCAGTTACATTTTCTCTCTAAAAAACCTTCACGTTTTTTCAAGTTTGGGTGAGACATTTGAGACACTAATTAATTATGCTTATTATATCAGAATCCCTACAATCAATTGTAATTGTTGAATCTCCCATACATATTATTAGACTGTATAATTGATTAAATAATAATAACATCAACTCATATCAATCAATTGTGATAATACTAATCGATTGTATAATCAATTGTGGTCTTTCAACCCAATCAATTTTGTAATCAATTATGATTTTTCATTTATTCTTTCATGCCAATTGAATATACAATGACTTGTGCTATAACAACAAAAGTTAGGGCAGTGTTATGATGTTTATGTAATATGCTATACCAATTGATTACACAATCAATTATGTTTGAAATTTTAAAAGTTATGATATTTTGTTAATATTGTTATGATTTTGAAAAAAAAAAGTTATGATCAACCAGCTATGGTTAGGATTCATTAATAAAAATTATGATTTTACTAGTAAAAGTTTTGATTTGTTTTGGTGAATCATAATAAAAAAAATGTCATGATTGTAATGTTATGATAATTTGTTAGAAATAATTATTTGTTATGAGTCGTTATCGTATTGTTATGATTGATAGCGTCTTTATTATGATACCGTAATGTATATTATGATATTGTTATGATTTATTGTAGTAATTGTTATGATATTTAAAAAAGTTTTGATTATTTCATATAACATGTTAAATGATAGATTTTTTTTTTTTTTTATCAACAAAAAGAATGAACTTTATTGATGAATTAAAAGACTATTACATCAATAAGAGAAAAGATAATGATGAGTGCAAAAAGTATCATAACGAACCAAATCAATTCCAACTAGATTGACATCATTTTTTATGACATGACACAATATCAACCATATCATATGTCCTTTTAAAAAATACACATGATAGACTTTTCCTTATTTTAGTGGGCCAATGCAAATACTTCCAATATATGTGGTAATCAAAATAATGCCACAAAATGCAAATGTGTCTTTAAAAAATTTGGAATCAAATCTCAGAAGAATCCGAGTGGCCTTTGTGTTTTGGTATCCAAAGTTTATAGCAGCATCTGGTCCCATTTACTTTAATCTAATGCGTGGCTATGAGTGGGAATGAGTTGACGGTTTAATTAATTATCTGTAAACTAAAAACATAAGATATTAAACATGTATTTATTTTTAAAATAAGTATATTGTGTTATTTTAATATTTAAAATTTTAATTGTATTAACTTAGTAAAAAAATCAAATTGTCACCATATAACATTATTTATTATGTGGCGCTTTCAATAAAAGATAAATCTTAAAACATACTTAGATAAGAATCTCTTAATTACCTATTAATTTTACTGCCATTGGCTCACAGGACCATGTGGATAATTCCTCGTGATATTCTCTGACACAGACATGGTCAAAATTAACTGAGAAGGACATTTTAGATAAGACCCTAAGGTCATGTTTGTTTGAACGGACTGGATTAGTATTCCCATGACTAATAGTCCTAGGACTATCAATCCGTTGGATTATGTATCCTATCTTAACTACTAGTCAAGTTTAAAATAATTAATCCGTACTTCAATAGTTTAACCAAACATCGGATTAATAATTTTATTGGACTATTAGTCCAATCCCAAGCTCATGTCCACCCAAACAAACATGGCCTAACAGTAAAGATTCAGACCTCATAAAATATTTAACAGTGTTGGGACTCCAGGAACTTCCACCTTCACGAGGAGGCTGTGAGAGCAAGATTAAATAAAAAATAAAAATAAAAAAATTTGAGCCAATCTAAAAATAATGAGAGTGGTGGGAGTCCAAGACATTTTTTTGTAAAATATTATCTTTACAATTCTTATTTACTTGTGATTAGTCCAAATAAAAAATAAATAATTAAAAAAATAATACAAATATATTATTGACCCACAACACTATAAAAGTGATAGAAGTCTCCTCAAAGGGACCCGTACATTTTCCAGACCCTAACGAAATCTTTTCTTTTCGGAACGTGTTAATAGGATTTATCATGATGTGCATTGTATATGATGGGCGGATCATATTTATTTTTATTAAGTTTTTTTTTTTAGTTTTTCAAGAATTCATATAAATTATCTTATAAAAATACATAAATTAATATAATTTTTGTATAAGTAGATTCAGAAAAACTTTAATCACAAATTCATGTAAATTTTTACGAATTTACGTAAGTGATTTCACAAAAGTATATAATTTAACACAAATTTACATAAGTTATCTTATAAAAGTTTTAAAAATCACAAAATCACGTAAATTTTCACCAACTCACATAAATGATCTCACAAAAACACATCAGTTAACACAAATTCACGTAAATTATCTCATAAAAATTTTAATGAACACAAAATCACATAAATTTTTACAAACTAACGTAAGTGATTTCACAAATACACATAAATTAACACAGATTCTCTGTAAATAAACTCATTAAAGGGATTGCACATCCAAACACTACCCGTGTTAATATGTTTTATCAAAAATATATCACTAGTTAGAATATCGTTACCAAAAAGAATTATTTGAACACAAAATCATAAATTAAAAATTAAATCGACACAAAATTAATATGACAGAAACAAAAATTATATAAAACGTATACTCCGAGAACGATGTACGGCAAACCGACATAAAAAAGTAGGGCCTAAAATGCTTTTCAAAAGTTACAAAGGTTGTAATCATTTGACTATTAAAAACGTAGCAAAGACGTAGAAGCTAGGGATAGCATGTTTTCGAACTTTTGCTTCATGAATGAGTGAATGATTCAGTTTACATGCTGATGAATCCGTTTCAAAAGTTACAAAGGTTGTAATCATTTTTTTTTTTTTTTTTGATCGGCAAAGAAAATCTTTATTGATGTAAGTATGTAAAAGAGATACAGAACATCAATAAAGAGGAGGTTAGAGCTAATTGAAGCTCCAACCTCCACTATTAAAAACGTAGCAAAGACGTAGAAGCTAGTGATAGCATGTTTTCGAACTTTTGCTTCGTGAATGAGTGAATGATTCAGTTTACATGCTGATGAATCCGTATCCCAAATTAACTGGGATATTCAGTTACCAAAAAATAATCTCAGTTTCATTCAAAAATTGATATTTGCAATCAAAATAAAATCTTAAATTATAATTTACATATATATGCTAATGATGGAATAAAAAAAAACAAAAACAAAAACAAAAAGAGAGTAGTATATAAGGAGGGAGTGAAGAAGACTTGCATTAACAAAGCAATCATGGAAATGAAGACGGAGCAAGGATGCCCCCATACGAGCCTCGCTCGACACTGCAGAGTTCACTGCAGTTTTGATTGTCGAAAGGACGTTAGGACATGTTGATGAATAGAAAGTTGGAGACAACTGAGCTGAGACTATTCCAATTAGAATAAGGAACAAAGATAAGCATAATTTTAAATTAACGAGTGCCATTGAATGGTTCGAAGTTATGTTTAATATAACTTCAAAACTATAAGAAGAAAGAGAAGAAGATGAAGATAGCTAATTATTAGCTTCTTGTTTGGTGCTTGGTTATGGATGAAGTGAAATATTTCATTTATTTATAGTACTAGAGAGTTTGTCTGCATTGGGCATTTTCTTCATGGTCTGCGTCAATGTTTCATATATTTTAATAAAATGAATTAAAATTGATTTTGACGTGTATTAGTGTTCTCTTCTTCCTAACTCTCTATGTACTAAAACATAATTAAAGTGACTAGTGAAAAAGAAGTTCTTCCCATGTGTGCTGAAGAACTTGATTTTGGATTGATTGTTTGATGTTGTCTTTTTTTTTTATAACTCAGGGTGTCCAGGCCTGCTTGCCCGCACCTCGATTAATCTCTGAGAGACCAATTCTACCGTCCACTAACGGGAGGCCCATTTAAATGTTTGATGTTGTCTTTGTAAATCATTTATGTTTGCTTAAAATTTTAATGTCGTTTCATGTATAATTGATTGATTTTAAGTTAGATGTCTCCAACAATTTGAGAGGCCTCTTTATTCATGATCAATTGAAATATGTTTTAGGTGGTCTTTTATGGGTTAAGTTTTCACCCTATATCTGTTTTTCTCCTACCTACTACCTCCACTTAATTATTATTTTTTAAATATTCAAATATAGGATTATTTTGAGATGTGATTTCTTACAATTTCTTTGCAACCAATTATAATTAGATATCATTAACAATTGTAAAAGGTTTGTGTTATCACATTCTCATTGTTAACAAGTGTCTCTGAGGCCCCCAAAAAAAAAAAAATTTTTGAAAAGCAAGAAACACTTTATTCCTATTTCAAAACTCTTTTAATTTTTTTTTACATATTTTCAAACTTTTTACTTATATTATAATATTATAATATTAAACAATGCCATAAAGACACTCGTTAGTATTTGACTTATCTGTAAATGCACTCCAATAGTTTGTGTTTTAATACACACTAGATAATAAAATATGAAGTGCAAATATTAAAAAAAATAATTAATAGATAAATAGTTCTAAAAACACTTTCATATGTTTTTATTTGAATTTGTGCTACAAATTATTTTACAGTATAATATAGATACGTGAAGCCCCTTGCTTATCTCTGATAGGTAAAAATATGCGGTGACCGTAGAACTTTTAACCTATAATTAAGTAATTTAGGAAAGTAATCATTTTATAATATATGTAGCCTGAAAAATTACATAGCACTTTCCCAGATTAAGCTTTTAGACGGTTAGGCCATCTATGTAAGTAGTCAACTGGTAATTTATTTAGTAATTTTGGATCATGTGACATCATTTTCATAGTGCTCTAAATTTATAGGTCGAAAAAATTTTATGAGTAAGATACGCTGTCTTATTTTTATTAGACAGTTAAGAGATAAAAAATAACTATTAGTGGATAATTATTAAGTACTTTTGGAGCACCATACGACATTATCTACGTGGTGCGACTTATTATATATTGAGACATCATGACTCATCTTTATTACGTAATTACTTTGTATGTGTTATGAGTTCTCATTTATCAATAATACTAAGTAAATAAGGCCACATGATACTTCAAGATTATTTAATTCCCTTGATTAGTGTGTTGTGATTTTCATTGATTGGGAGTGCCAAGTAAATAATTTTCCTAGTGAACTATGCTCATTGATAAAATAAAATAAAATAAAGGAGTAATTGTAAACCAGTGGGATCTTCACAAAATATTTATAAATTCATTGAAAAGTTTATAATTTAATTATTAAAGTTGATAAAGTTTACCACTAATTTGAATTTTTTTTTTTTTAAAAAAACTTCCACTGAATTGCAATCCCCCCCTAAGAAAAATAATAATAATAATAATAAAATAAAAATAAAACAAACACCCTATATTTGTGCACCTCAAGCCTTTCCAATAATGTCTATTTCTAAAATTTTCATACAAAATCATTCAACATAATTTTGGGTCAATGACAATTTTAATATTACATAATTGTGGGTCAATGACAAGTAAAATTCAATATAACAATTATACTAAGTCATCACCAGTATATAGAATGACAAACTATGTCACTTAAGATGACAAATCTTAGTATTCAAATATAACTAACAATTCAGTAATATCACATGTAAGTAATAGGGTATGGTATGTTTGCATGATAATATGTTATTAAATGGTGAAATTGCATATCAATAATTACATGATATCACAATTGGTTATTGAATTTTTTTTTTGTTTTTTCGTGTTTGGGAGTGGGCAAGAATAAGTGGTCTACTGTAACAAAAAAAGAATAAGTGGTCTAAAAAATATGCCCTTCACCTAACTTATTTTTATTACCTAAGGATTGACTCAAAAGCACAGTACGAGTGTCACATGTTATGGATATTCCCACCATGAAAGCATACCTAATAATTAATTAATATTTGATTGATGATTCATTCATAATCCCACCATGAAAGCTTATTTTGATTACAAACATTCGAGCGCGTTGACGTACCAGTCCATGTCTAGCTGGCTGTGTGTGTGCTTGTGTCCACCAAAGCAAATGGGAAATGGGAGATTTTCATGGCCGACTTCTTTTTTGGTTATTAAATGGTGGGGAAAAAAAAAATCTAAGAATATAAAAATTTATTATAGAATTAGATACAATTTTTTTTACATGAGATGAGTCAAATCTTATTATGAGTTGAAGAGTGATGGAGTCAGAAAATTAAATTAGAAGAGGCACTTATTAATTACAATATCAAAAAATTTTACAAAAATATTTCACTCAAGTTTTTACGATTGATTTCGAGAAACATTAAAAAAATAATGTTATTTATAACTAGTATATCATGGACAACACAAAAAAAATATAGATATAAGTCTTAAAATAAATTATATAATGATAAATTATTTTTTTATACAAAATTTTATTAAAAATTCAATATAATAGTAATACCAAGTCATCATTAGTATGTAATATCTCCCACTAATAGTAAATAAACACATAGAGAGTGAACCTCACATGTCAAATGTAACTAACAATCTAATAAATTTCATATCTTTATCGTGAGATTACTTATACTTGCATGTCACTAATGATGACATCACTGTTACATTCAAAAATTTTCATAAAATTTGCATAGATAATATGATTTATAGTAGTCTCTTCATTCTCAATCAAAACAACCATTATTGTTCTCATAATTTTTAAAATGTCATTGAAATTTAACTCTAATAATACTTTTATAATTTTTTTATTTAAAATATTTTCTTTATGCTTGCAAAATAAAATATAAAATATAAAAAATCCCAAAATCCAGTGGGGGGCATGTGACCCCCTTGGTCCCTTACTCCCTCCGCCACTGGCGTTGAATATCTATGTAAAAGAGTTGTATCTGATTTTATGATCGATTTTATATTCCTAAAAAGAATTGTATATGGTGAGTCCATTTTTCTTGTAATAGTTTCTTGTGGTGTTTCTTTATCACAATAAAATATGTTAGCAACGCATATAATCTAACAATTTGGATTTAAAATTAAAGTAAAATGATAGTAAAATCACACAATATAAAACATTATAATTTTACTCTTACTTTAAACGTAGGCTTCTGGACTGTCATAACAAAACAATTTTTGAGACATTCATTGCAAAGAATCCTCATTCTTATATATGATTGCACAGTGAGATTTATTTTTGATTTTTTTGGGATAAGTAAGCATTTTATTGCCAAAATAAATTATTTGAAAAAAAAAAAAAAAAACAATGAAACTTGATATAACCCCTTAAAGGCTATACAAAAGTACAAAGGCTAATCAAGGGCTACAGGACCTAGACTCAACAAACATGAACTGTTACAATCCGAGAATACTGAGTGAATGGGCACTAATTGAGAATCTTGCTTGATCAATGAGAAAAAGACAAAAAGAAAAGAAAAGGAAAGGAATGGTAAAGTTATGGGCACTAATTGAGAATCTTGTTTGGTCAATAAGAAAAATAAAAAAAGAAAAGGAAAAAAAAGGGAAAGGAATGGTAAGTTAAAGTTGTCTAATAATTAACAAGGCTGCTAGGCCAATATTTCCATATATTTTTACAGAAATAGTAAATTCAAAAGACTTGTCACTGAGTCATTTTCGGATGTGCGCTTCGGCAATGACTGCACCACGTCTAGCCATCTTCTAGACCAATTATTGTGCTCTTTGAGACACGAGTGACCATTGCGTAGAAAAATGTTAGCATATTCCTTTCGTTTTCAGAATCTGTTTTTGAAACATACTAAAAATGAATCTGGTGAGAAAACAATGAAAAAACTTGAAAAAAACTTCTCAATTCACTAACACTGGTTAGACTGTGAGCAAGTTCCGGAGGACAAAGTTTTTGTATGAAGTTTGATAAAATAACATAAAACTAATTCATTAGAAATTTGCATGGTGGTCCAGCATCTATCTCTTTCAACATTAGCATTGATCACATTAGAAATTTCAATGCCAAATGCCAATAATGTCTTTACCCTTGAGAAGAGTTTCACTTGAAAATGTGTGTTGCTTTTTGTTAAACTACAGAGAAATATACACTAACGTGCTAATGCTATATCTCTTTGGAGTAGAGAATATAATTAAAGGCGAATTGTAAATCAATTTAAAGAACTAAAAATAATTATAAAAACACAGAGGTGTATGTGCTCTAGTGCAACTAAGGTCATAATCAATTTGAGGTCATAATTTTCACTGGTCTGTGAGCAGTGGAATTTTGCTGGGCAGTGATGCTGTGTTCTGATGTTGTGTTCTGGTTTGTTTAGCTGTCTTTTGATGTTGTATGTTTAGTTTTGTGGTTTGCTAAGCAATTAGGTGGTTGGAGCTTCAATTAAGTCTGCTGTTGGATTTTTTTGCTTTGCTTTGCTCTGGTTGTTTAGGAGATTGGAGCTTGATTTTGCTTCAAACTCCTCTTTATTGATGTATTCTATCATACTGTGTATGTGTTCATCAATAAAGTTTTCTCTTTGCCGATCAAAAAAAAAAAAAATTTCACGTGCACCAAAGCAGAAGATCACATGTACCTCCTTGTTTTTGTAATTAGTTTTAGTTTTTTCCACTTATTTC